TCTCTCTCTCTCTCTCTCTCTCTCTCTCTCTCTCTCTCTCTCTCATGTCACCGCTACCTGAATAACTGATCGCAATACAGTTTTCTCATATTCTCTTTCATCAGAATTTACATTCAAACAAATCACTCTCTTTGATTTACAGGCGGAGATCGAAACTCGTGATATCCTCCGCGAAGGCGGAGGACTCCGGCAGATACGAATGCGTGGCTGAGAGCACTTCCGGTCATCGGGCCTCACTCGCGGCCCAACTTCTAGTCACTACTGAATCCAGAAATGTGGAAACAAGTGAGTAATTAATGTTCGTTTTCACACGAGATACTACTGCCATTCGAGAAGATCAGTCGCAAAAATCATCGCGGCAAGTGCGCGCATAACGATCGCTATGGATGAAACAAAAGTTGAATGATAATGTCCACGAGATGGAGCATCGCGAGTCTGAGAAGTGGCGAACTTTGTCGATCTGGAGGTCGATCATAAATCTTTTCTCCTTTGTGTGAACTCGTGAAAAGTGAAAAATCTAACTTTGAAAATAAATGTTCGCTTTTCACGAGTTCACGGAAAGGATTCATGATCCTCCAAGTACTGCAAAATTATTCAGTTTCCATGATTTCATACTAGGAAAAATATTGCATGATTAATAAGTAAGATCGAGTTCACATGAAAAGATTTATGATTAATGCTCGATCAAAAAAGTACATTCAATTGCAAAATGGTTTGAACACTTTCTGATAAAATTAAAAACGCAAGTGATTACATTTGCAAGCTACTACTTACAGATTTGCGCATTATTCCATTATAACAGAAGTCAAAATGACAATATTCATTCGTGACACCCGACATCACAATTACAACGGAGGATTCAGAAAAAACACAAGTATCTTTATTATATTCTTATTTATCAGATAAAAATATAATAAAAAGTCAATATTTACAGCGCGTACTGTCACTTTGGTTTCTGTTATAACCGATCATCGTTGATTATCGTATTTGATATACCTTTGACTTTATGACGAATAGTCAAACTTTTAACTATACGGCCCAGACCCTTCTCCGCAATTTTTATGGGAACATAGAACGGATTGAGAGATAAAAATCCTGTACCGTTCTGCGCTATTTGCAATAAATCTCGAGATATTAAGGCTCTGCTATTTCTCAGGCGTCCATATTGGTTTGATGAAGCGTCCATATTGGTTTATCAGAAGCGAGAAATAACGTACCGAAAGTTCCTTGCGTTTTATCGCTTTATTTTTCCCAAAATAAAATTCCCAAAATTGCGAAGAAAAGTCGCAAAATTGCGAAGAAAAGTCTGGGACGTCTTATAAAAGTGTGAATTGCTAATAGCTAACTTCAGACTGGTAGTTAAGATCTTTCGCGTCGTCATCGGCTAAGTGACAAACGTAGGAAATAAAGTTACGTCATTTATCGAATGTTTGTTGATCACATGTTGAATATTTAATATATAGTTATAATATATAATTATAATATATAATATAATAGCAGTATTCTTATATATATTATTATTGTTGAAATATGTAATTGAAATAATTTAAAAAAATAGTATTGCTTTATAGGAAGAAACTGCAAGTCAACAAAATATTAAAGCACAAAAGAGAAAAAGTATAATAGCAGCAGAGAAAACTGTTTTGCGAATGTTGTAAAATTCGTAAATCGGATAAGTATATACTTTTAAATACTTTACAAAATGACTGAGTAAAATCTAATTTCAAACTTTATATATAGCCATTATAATGCTCAATATCACATTTTACTTATTTATAGGAGATGGAATACATTATATAATATTTTATTTCTCCCTTCTCTCTCATTGGAGACTAAAATTTTTATTTATATAACATATTATCTATAATATAGAAAATATATATTATTATGATTGGTGGATCTTAAGATATATTTATTTGATCGCCAGCATTTGATCAATGCTGCAAGTTCTCGAGAAAAATCGAAAATGTATGATACATTTCTCAGCATAGCAATGAATGGAAAGAACGGAATACTGGTAGTCCATATTTCTATTGTCAAAGATTCAAACCGTTTTACAATCGAATGTATACTTAATGCAAAACGGTTTAGACACAATGAAATAAAAATCACATCAAATCGCCACGATTGAAAGCCACCGCTAACAGGCTTGTGCAGTAATTACTTATGTCAGAATCCGAAATGACAGTACATGTTGGTGCATATGTACGAGGGTAGTCCCAGAAGTACCCGGCCTAACAAAGAAAACACAAAAATTTTGAAAAAATATATCTTTATTTCTCAACATAGTCCCCTTTTAGCTCGATACACTTTTCCCAGCGATGTTCAATTGCTTCGATACCATGTTTATAGTGAGAACCATCGAGTTCCTCAAAATAGCCATCAACCGCAGACTCTACCTCTTCATTGTTAGCAAATCTTTTACCACCAAGCCATTTTTTCAAGTTTAAATAGATAATAATCTGAGGGGGCTAAATCTGGTGAATAGGGTGCGTGAGAAAGCAATTCGAACTTTAACTCATTGATTTTGGCCATCGCAATAACGGACGTGTGAGCCGGTGCATTCTCATGATGAAACAACACTTTCTTTTTCGCCAAATGCGGACGTTTTTTCTTGATTTCATCACTCAAACGCTGCAATAAGTTCGCATAATACTCGCCGTTGATTGTTTTTCCTTTTTGAAGATAATCAATGAAAATTATCCCACGCACATCCCAAAAAACTGACGCCATAACTTTGCCAGCCGATGGAGTTGTCTTCGCCTTTTTCGGAGCCGATTCTCCCCTTTCAGTCCATTGTTTCGACTGTTCTTTCGTCTCAGGTGTGAAATGATGAACCCATGTTTCATCCATGGTTATGAATCGACGCAAAAACTCGGCCTTATTACTGCGAAACATCGCCAAACACTCGATTGAAACATCCTCACGACGCTGTTTTTGTTCAATTGTGAGCAAACGCGGCACCCATCGTGCGCACAGCTTTTTCATGTCCAAATTTTCAGTCAATATGCGATGTACAGCACTTTTTGATATGCCTACCATGTCAGCTAACTCGCGCACTTTCAGTCGACGGTCATCCGATATCATTTTGTGGATTTTCGTCAGCATTTCTGGCGTGGTCACCTCATTTGGTCGACCACTGCGATGTTCGTCTTGGCAGCTCTTACGGCCTCTTTTAAACTCTGCCACCCAATATTTTATTGTTGTAAACGAGGGAGCAGACTCCCCCAGAGTAGAATCTAGCTCAGTTTTGATATTGGTTGAACTGAGACCTTTCAAATGAAAATATTGTATCACATAACGATGACCAATTTTCTCCATGTTTACAAATGTACTGAGAGCGTTCACTATTGATGGCTGCCAAACTAATACTAAACAACGTAGCGTCTTGAAACTTCAAACTTCAGCTTTATAAGGTTGATGCTTTCGGCCATAGTGATTTTTTTCAAACAACAACCGCTATCTATACGTCAGGTCGGGTACTTCTGGGACTACCCTATTACCCCTTATTGTATTCTTCTCTGGTAGATCTGAGTAAAATAAAAATACTCACGTTTCTCCTGAATCCACCACTGCAATTGTAACGTCGGACGTCACGAGTGTTGCTATTTCGACTCCTTATAACCGATTATTGTGCAAGCCGGTCAGTTCACAATCGTGATAATTTGATGAAGCGCCTTACTTCATTGTATCTAAACTGTTCTGCACATTCACGATCATGATAAAACCGGTTGTCGGCGCGTGTTAACCGTCGAGAGCCGAGTTTCGCGAGCCGGTCGGGTCGCGTACACCTGTCGATATCTTACACAAAACTTTCGAGCGCGGAGCATTTCAGATTTCCATCCGACGTTTTGATAGTCTTGCTCGTTGCAGCCCGTTGCGAGACTGATCTCTCTATGCCATGAATACGAATCGCGTTGGGTTAGCCGTTAGAAAGACCTCACTCGCGAGCAAGCGCGTCTGATCTCCAGCGATGAGCAAAATATCGCACTGATATTCGCGAGATCGATCCGCGAGCACGACGACGCGCGAACATTCGCAACGCTCTTCCTGAGTGCGAGAAAAATTATCGATCGTCATTGGAAAATGGAGTTTCGCGATATTCATCGCGGAAAAGGGCAACGCGACGCACGGATGGCCATTTCGGGAATAACATGCGCGCGCGTCGAATCCGCTGAATCGACTTGGGGAAATATCGACAGTGATTTCACATTCGGCGAGTGTGCGAAGAAATCTGGCGGCTTTCACCGTGAGCTTCCTGTCCCCCCCTCCATATATATATATATATATATATATATATATATATATATATATATATATATATATACCGTCCCGCGGTGGAATTCCTTCTGGTTCCTTTACCTTTATCCGCATGGCAAGTGCAATGAAACGAGAGCACCCGAAAGCGCTGCGAGCGAACGAGCAAGCCGCTTATTTTCTCCCTCGTGCCGAATTTGCACAAGGTGTCACGAATAAGGGAAAATCATCCATGTGTAAGGAATTGGCGCGATCATCGATCGTCCAAGGAAACCGCAAAGAAAGAAAATGCGTCCGATATTCGCGGAAATTATCGAATTTTATTCGCAACACGCAGGGAATTTTCCTTAAAGATAAACTTCCTTTAACCAAAGAAGTGCTACAGTGATCTTACTCGACTAAAATGTATTTATAATGTAAAAAAAATATGAAGAAAATATGAGATATTCAGAGACAAAAGACAAAATTGTACGCAGAAGTCATATTTTCCAACAAACATAGAACTTTTTCAACATGCGTTTCAGTTTTAAAACGCATGTAAAAAAAAGTTTTCATACTAAAGTACATTTTTTATATAGGATGTTCCGCAACAAACGCCGAATATTGAAATGGTAGACAATGAAAGTCAAATGGAGATAAGAAGTCGTTTGTCATTTTGTAATACGAGTCCATAATTAACGAGTTATTAATTAATTAAGTTTGATGCTTAGCGCGCCCTAATTGACGAAGTACAGGTATAAGAGGAGCTCACTAATCAAAATATCGAAGTTAATCCAAGAGGCGGAAGTTAACATTTTTGCGATGCACGACACTGTGGTCCGCCAATTAGAGTGCGTTAAGTATTAAACTTAATTAATTAATAACTCGTTAACTATTTACTTTGCTCGTATTTCAAAATAACAAAACACTTTTCGTTTTAGTTTATTCGATATTTGTTGGCTTGTTGGTGAAGGACACTCTACATAAAAGATGTACTTCAGTATGGAAAATTTTTCCCGTATAATTAATCGTATAATCACTATTATTAA